TGTATGCACATATTTTACGGTGCACACACTCAGAAAGAACTCCACATGCGTAGTCCGACAGGCAGCAGAACTCCAGAATCTTCCTCCAGCACAATTAGTAAACCCCTCCCAAATACCATGCCCCCCCTCCCCGTTTCAATGGCAGCCGAAGCAGCAGCAAAGCAGAGGCTGATAGTCCCACAGGTAAGGGGGTTCCATAGAAAACCAGTATGGAGCAGATACAGAACAGAAACAGACAGAGAAATCCAAAGATGAAGCCAAACATATTTTGGGGCAATCAGGAGTCTATCATTTAGGGAACTCATGCAAGGGTTGAATTTATTTTTATATTTTGTGTGTCAGGATATGTTTCTTTATACTACCATCACAAGGTGATAAACAGTAAAGTATTTATGAAATGCTTTCCTGGATGAACCTAATTGACTCTTTGTAAAAGTATCCACTCTTCAGTCCAGTTTATTGTGTGAATCAAGTTGATGGTTTGTTCTTTTGGCTTCTCATGTGCCAGAGCCAGTCCAACATTGTCACTGATGACTCTTGGTAAGGACAGAGGAAGTTTATCTTTGCCATTTGCAGAAGGAAAAACTCAAGTCTGTGGAAGTGAGTTTTCTTTGCTTGTGGATTGTGTTCCTTGGCACGTTAAGAGAGCAAAGGACCACACCTGTAATGCAGGGAGGTAAAAGAGAAACCTTGAAGGCACAGGGGATGGGGGAAAGAGGGAAAGCACATTGAGGTGAAAACTGAAGAAGCAGGAGGTGAATCTAACACCATTTTAATGGGGAGAGCAAGGGGACTCTCAAGCTATCACAGTGAAGTAAGATGTAGTAGACCTTACATCCCATAAGCCTTCCAACGATACAGACCAGCTATAGCCATCTGTTCACAAGGAATTATGTGGTGGAGAAGCAGTTCATTGAAAGGGGAAATTACAAGGCTGATTCAAACTGCAGTAGAACCTACTGAAATATGAGGTATGGAAGACAGAGGACAATGTGAAGGAGATTAAGCCCCAGAAAAGGGACACAATTTCCCAATCCTTAAGAGTGAAGGCTAGGAGAGGCGGAGCTGATGTCGCTGCGGAATGACGAGTTTTCCATAAGCTCGCACAACCCCCCTCTCCAGCCAGGCAGAGCTCCATGCACTGACCTAGGGGGTA